GTCATTAAAAACATGTGAAAGTAAGGGTTTTTTAGGTAGTTTATTTTTTAATTAAAAATATAAATGAAATATGATGTGTATTAGTGTATTACTAATTTGCCATTAAATTTATGTCAAAGTAAGAGTTTTTTAGGCATTATAAATTTTTACAAAAACACTCCTCCTTTTAAAGTGGTATAGATAGATTATTATAGATTGAATTGAATTTAGGGGAGATTTTACGATCATGTTACGGAACTATTCCGTCGGGATTTGTAATCGTTAGATCAACTATCCACGACGATTAAATGACGATCTAACGCTTACAAATCTCGACGAAATGACTCCATAATGAGACTGTAACATTTCCTTGAATTTAGACCTCTACACTAAAAATAAATAAAAGTCACATTCCTACGTACATATTCCATCTCTCTTGCCTGTTACCATCTATATATAACCTCCATTGCACCCTCAATTGGCAAACATCACAACAAAACATTTTTAATTCTAGCATCTGATCTCCTTCTTTCTACATTCTTTTATTTTTCTTCAATCATTTATTTCTTCATTAATTCATACTATAATAATCTCGAGGTGCCATTTTTTTTCTTGTCTCTCGGCTGTATTTGGTAACTACTTTTTTCTCCTTAATTTTTTGAGTGTTGTTTTAAATTCTAATCGAATACGAATCTCATTTTCGTACAAGTAAAGAGCTCGTCTTCATGGACGCACTCCATTCGCATAATATCATGGATAAATAATTTTTTGTGTATTTATTTATTTATTTATTTTTGTAGTTATAGCTTACTTTGTCATTTTTTTTGTTCCTTGTTTTCATTTTTAATGTTTAGTTTAAAACACGATTAATTTATATTATTTATATTACTTTATATGTAAAATATATCAACAACTTGTTAACTTTTAAATAAATGGTATTTGAATATGTGGAATATATAATTTAATTTTATTATTTGCGTAGCATATTCAATGAAACAACGTTTAGAATTCCATAATTTAAGTAAAATATCATATAACAAGTATGTTAGGTTAACTTGCTTATTCAATAAGATGACATTTGGACTTCCAAAACTTAATTGAAATATAATATAACAAGTATCTTAGATTAACCTGCCTAATAATAAAATGTTAATCTCATAGTGGTATTTGAAATAATTTATTTTGTTTTTACAATTCAAATTTAAGTAGGAAATAAGAAATTACTCGGGATAGTACTATTTTTTGATTTACTAAAACAACATGACGTATTTTTAATAATTTATTTTTCATTCATTTTGTAATTTACATTAAACACTTAAAAAATTTATCATACTTTGAATTGCAAATAACAACAGTGATATTAGTGAAGCCAAATTGAGTCGAATACATCGTATTTGAACTTGTGTTCGTATAATAAATAAGCAAGCTTGGCCCGATATTATTTAATAAATCGAGTGGAACCAATTAAGTTCCACTTGTTTCAATTAATTTGTTATTTTATGTTTTCGTACATGAATGAGGCTAGGTTGACTTTTTACGAGCCGAACTGAATTGTACTGCCTAACAAATCAGTTCTAGCAACCCAGAGTAGAAAATTTTTCTGACTACGCCCTGTATATAGCTGTATGTTTCCATAGTTTATGTGTTGGATATATTATATTTAATAAAAAAAATATGTATGAAATACTCGCACTACAAGAAAAACTGCATTTGACTACGCTTATTTTTATGTTTACTGACGCTTATTTTTTTCTGACATCAAATTTAGCAACACAACTCGCCAATAAGCGTCATTAATAAGCGTCGCCAAATGCAGTTTTTCTTGTAGTGTCGATACATGTTCTTATTGTAATTATAATTAATATATGGTATGTTCTAATGACCTATACTATATAAGGCTATAACTATAAGTTGGAAATTTGATGAGGTAATTAATTATGGATAATATTATTGTGCATGCAGGTTAATTAATCACTTAATTAATTAATTAATTAGTGAATTAGAGGGAAAATGAGGTGTGGGGTGAAGCGTGTGGCGGTTATCGGCGGGGGGATTAGCGGGATGATGTCAGCATACGTAATGGCGAAAGAAGGTGGTATTGAAGTGGTGGTGTACGAGAAAGAGGGTTGCTTGGGCGGCCACGCTAACACCGTTACCGTTAACGGTACCCAACTCGACATAGGCTTCCAGGTGTTTAACAGAGTAAGTCTTTTTCTTTTTCTTTTTTTTTTTTTAAATTAAATTTTTAAAGTAGTTAAAAAAAAAGTAATTTCTGGCACGATTCGATAAAATTTATTCGGCCAACAATTAATAATAATATGAGTTCATTTAATAAAAATATGTTCACCATATATCTAATATAAATTTTTATGAACAGCATTCAAATGAATACACTATATTAAATTATTTTACAGCTGATATTCTTATTTTGTATTATAGTTATACCTAGAGATGTTAAACGGGCTAGCCCTAGCGGGCTTCGGGCTAAACGGTCCGGGCCTAAATAGCCCGGATTTAAACGGGCTACCAATAAAAGGACCTAACCCTAACCCTAGCGGGCTTCGGGCTAAACGGGCTAAGCGGGCTTTAATAATAATATTAATAATAATAATAATAATAATAATAATAATGTATCAAAAAATATCAAAAATAAAATGAAAAAAATTATAAAAAATTACAACGACTAATTAACGATTGTTTTCAACGGTATTTAGTATTTGTCGCTCTATATATACAACTACACATCATATATGAACACATACTACAAACTCTTAAATAACATTTTTTTTTTCAAAAGAAAAAAATATTCGAATTATTACTTACAATTACCATTTCACTACTTATTTTGTACGCTTTGGAAATTTTTACGATATTATATCACTATAAATTCTATTACTATGTTTCATTTGTTAGGTCTTTGTCTCATTTGTTTCCTATTAGTCGTTCTGATTGAGTTAAATATTTTGGTGTGGAGTACAATAAGAATATTGTTAATAATTATCTTTCAAAATCAATATAATCCGTTACAGCTCATACTTATATGTGAAGTGGAATAGCAAAATTGTAATATACAATTAATCTAAGAGTATATTACTTACTTGCTGTAAATATTTACAACGCCCAACTCAAGTTAAACGGGCCAGCCCTAGCGGGTTTCGGGCTAGCCCTAACGGGCTTCGGTTTAAACGGTCCGTGCCTAAAAAGCCCTGATTTAAACGGGCTACCAATAAAAAGCTCTAACCCTGTTTATTTTCGGGCTAAACGGGCCGGCCCATCGGGCCAAGGACCGTTTAACATCTCTAGTTATACCAGTAACAAAAAATAAATAAATAAATAAAAAAGTTAAAGCCCGGTTTATATGGAAATTAAATAATTTGTGTTTATATTATACATTTACATATAGTCAAAATTTTAAAATGTAATGCACACTTTATCTAATTTAAATTTTTAGAAATCATATACGCACATATGATATACTACCTCCTATTTTCAATATATGTCGTTTTGAGAAGTTGAACGTTAATTAAGAATATTTTTTTTGTCAATAATAACCTTATTTAATGAAGATAGAGATGAATGTTTTGAGAAAAAATGAAGAGTGAATATGAAAAGATGTAATGTATTTATTAGCTAAATAAGGGTAATAATAGAAAAATATGTAGAAAAGATCCAAAACGACATTTATTTGACAAATAGTTGATAAAGCTAAAATGACATTTAAAAAAAATAGGAGGGAGTATAATTTTTTTGTTTTCCTATGTGCATGTGCATGTGCATATGATCGAATACGAATTATAATTAATGGCTAGCTTTCTTTCCCTCTTCTTTTTTATGTTTTTGTATCAGGATAATCCTGATTAATTATAACTGTACTAGTCTAATTATAATCTACAAAAGTTTGGAAAAATATTGATTATCTCTCATCTTAATTACAATTAATGGCCAGCCCTTCTTTTCCCCTTCTCGTCTGGTTTAAGTATAATTTATTAAGAACAATTAATTATAACTGTACTTAGTCTAATAATAATTTATCAGATAGAAGTAAATATAAATATATACATATATAAATGCATTGTTACCTAATAGATTGGCTGATCATCATTTGTAAATAATTAAAGCAGCTATATATGTATCCTAATATACATACACTCACACTAGAAAAAAACTCATTTAAACTGAAAAAAAAAACTCAAAATATCTTCCACAATTGCATGAATTTTTTATTCGAAGTTGTTTAGGGAAAAAAAAAAGAAAGCATGGAAAAATCTGATGATGAAGACTTATTAGCTGCTTATATTATATGATTATTTTTCTTGCTGTGTGAATTTAAGTGGTACATAAAATAACGGGAGATTCTACGGTCTCGTTACGGAATCATTCCGTCGGGTTGGTAACCGCTAATCAACTATCCACGACAATTACATGATGATCTAACTATTATAATCTCGACGAAATGGTTCCAGAGACTGTAACGTTCCCTAAAATAACTAGCCCACATGCATTTATTCAAAAGATAAAACGAATCAAATTAAAATAATATAATTTAATTACTTGTTTTGTTTGATGACCACACGGTCTTATTTTAGTACTTAATAGGGAGTCGTCTCCACTTTCACTTAGAAATTAGTCAAGAAAAGATCAATCAACGGAAGAGTAAAACGTATTGAGGCCCACAAGAGCAATATGAATCTTACTTTTGTCATAAAAATTAAATTCCAATGTTGACTTTGTATTATTATAATATTATAAAATAACACATGTATTAGAATATTTAGTTTGTAAGAAACGGGGAATAAAGGGTGGGAGGCGGTCCACGCAGATGACGTGCACCAAGACAATGAAAGTCCAGATGAAGCTCGAGTGGGGTACCATCTCAAATCTAATTGGAAGAAGGAGGAGTAGTCTATTAGACTTATAAATCAGGTCTATTTTCTTTATATAAACGATGTGGGACAACTCACAAGTGAATATTCTAATAACATGGATAAGGATGAGTCTACGAACAATTGTTCTTTTTCCACACTTTCTCATTTGATTGATACATAATCCAATGGCACAACACGTAAAACAAAGTGTAAATGAAGACAACTTATATTTTGGCTTTTGTTAGCTATATATGGTAATTATAAAAAACGGTATGATTGTTCGAATAATTCGACAGGTTACGTACCCTAACATGATGGAATTGTACGAGAGCCTTGGAGTCGACATGGAGCCGTCTGACATGTCGTTCTCCGTGAGCTTGGCCGACGGCCAAGGCTGCGAATGGGGGACCCGCAGCTTTTCTAGCTTATTCGCGCAAAAGAAGAACATTTTCAGTCCAAGTTTTTGGAAAATGATTAGAGAAATCAATAAGTTCAACGAAGATGGAATTAAGTACGTAATAACATCACATTACTTGGAAGTAGAGAGTTAGTTTATGAAGTTACTTGTTTTGTGCTTTCTCAGACTGTTATTTTTGTTCTTTTAGATATGTAGAAGAGCTAAACAATAACGAAGACGTTGACCGTAACGAGACATTGGGGCACTTTGTTCGGTCGCGCGGTTATTCGGAATTATTCGAGAAGGCTTTTCTCGTGAGTTTTTGTACTTCTTATGTTAAAAAAGCATTATAACCTCATGATATCATTAATCTTGTTAATTCTTTTTTCTCTCTAGATTCCGACTTGTGCTTCTATATGGTCGTGCCCCAAGGAAATCATGGACCTCTCGGCTTATTCCGTACTTTCTTTTCTACGTAATCACCACGCATTGCAAGTAAGTCATTTGCATACGAATATCTATTACACGGTGGCACATTGTGATATTTGTAGCTCATTTGCTTGTGTTTCGATTCGTGCGTTATTGATGTATTAGTAGTTTTAACTTAAACTGGATTTTTTCAACTCCTATGCAGGTCTTCGATCGTCCTCAATGGCTAACTCCAAAAGATCGCTCACAAGTTTATGTCAATAAGGTGAACGTGGATATAAATTTTCTTTTCTCGACTCCTTAGCATATATAGAACATATCGTCTAATGAAAATATAATCTGATCTGATGGTAAACTGTGGCATTAAAATGAAAACCAGATGAAGAAAGAGCTGGAACGAAGAGGGTGTCAAGTACGAATCAATTCCGAAGTTGTTCTAGTTTCAACAAATGATGAGGGTGAGTATACGTAAAATTTGAGTATATATATGTTTACCATAATTATAGCAATAAGAAATACAATAACAGTAAGAAATAAATAATAAAACGATTGCAGGTTGCATGATTACTTGCAAGGATGGATCGAAGGATGTATACGATGCCTGCATAATTGGTGCACATGCTCCGGATGCTCTTAAAATGTTAGGAGATCAAGTGACATATGAGGAGTCGAGAATACTTGGCGCATTTAAATATGCTTACAGGTGATCGATCCATCATCTTTAACGCTAGCATACAATCTTGTTTTGGATATTGTTGGTGTGTCTTTCTGTATTTCCTTACATACTACTTTGCTTCACTCACTTATCTTCTTTTGTTCTTTTTTTTATGACAGTGATATTTATGTTCATCACGACAAGAGCTTAATGCCCAAGAACCCGGCAGCTTGGAGCGCGTGGAATTTTCTCGGAACTAAAGATGAAAAAGTGTATATTACATATTGGCTCAATGCAGTACAGGTTCGTAAATAGATTTCTCCATTTACGATTTTTTTTTTTTTTTTTCGTTAGTAATCTTATGCTTCCATTTCGAATAAAACTTTCAGAATATTGATGACAAAGGGCTTCCTTTTTTCTCGACCCTAAATCCACCTTACGAACCGGAAAACACGTTGCTGAAGTGGTCGACCAGCCACCCAATCCCATCAGTTGCCGCAACAAAAGCTTCAGCTGAGCTCGATTCCATTCAAGGCAAACGGAGGATATGGTTTTGTGGAGCGTATCAAGGTGCATTGGAAGATATATTAAAACATAATTATCATCCGTTCTGATGAATTAACCGGACATAGACGTTAACTTACTTGTTTTCCTCATGTTATGTATTTCTTCAGGCTATGGCTTCCATGAGGATGGACTAAAGGTACTTTTATAACTATTAACTTCATAATAACTTGATGACATCTATTTTTTTTCTGTGTAATAACTTAAACTTGATCCTCAGGCTGGTGTACGAGCTGCAAACAGTTTGCTGAGAAAAGATTTCACACTTCAACAAAATCCCAAGTACATGACACCATCTTGGTCTGAAGCAGGGGCCCGCCTTCTTGTGACTCGATTCTTGAAACAATTTATCTCTACCGGCTGCTTAATGTAAGATTATGAAGAAAATTATTTACGAGCTATTTTTCGTTTCTCTATTCTTGCTGAGAAGTAATAAAAAATCTTGAAACAGTTTACTGGAAGAAGGGGGCACGATTTTCACCTTTGAAGGCAGCGATAAGTCATGCACTGTAAAAGTCTCTTTGAGGATACATACACCCCAGTTTTACTGGAAGGTATTTTTTTATGATTTTTCTAAGTATAATTTCGAGTCTCAACATACCTTTCAGTTCGGTTCGAATGTAATATCTTGGCATTTGTTCATCCTTTAATCTGCTGGTAATGTCTATGGCAGATTGCAAAAGAAAGTGATTTAGGCCTTGCTGATGCCTACATTAATGGGGACTTCACGTTCGTGGACAAGAAGAAAGGCCTCGTCAACCTTTTCATGGTACGCATGCATTGTTTGACGCGCTAATGCAAATAAAGTATCGATTATGGTCGTCTTCTAACACGAGTGTCCTTCAAATTTGTATTTCTGCAGTTATTTATAGCAAATACAGAGCTAAATACTTCCAACTCGAAGAGAAGGCAAGTGTAATAAATATCAGTATTGACGTCGTTCAATATGTACTTAAAAATAATATGCATATATACGTTTTTAGGGGATGGTGGACACCAATGCTATTCACTTCCGTGCTATCTTCCGCGAAATATTTCTATAAACATGTTTCGAGACAAAATACGCTAACTCAAGCCCGCAAAAACATCTCACAACATTATGACCTTGTAAGGGTTTATTGCATCCTTAAACTTTCAATACGTAATCCGTAAATGTGTAAGATACAGATATTGATACTTGTGTACATGCTCATTTGCCAGAGCAATGAACTCTTCTCTCTGTTCTTGGACGAAAGTATGGCCTACTCATGCGCAGTGTTTAAGGTTAGGATCTTCGTCTTGGTACAGATACTTTCGAAAAAGACAAAAAAAAAAATGAAAATGAAAATACGACTAGATTTATTTGGAGAAGATGCACTTAATATTTTTACAAGGAGCTGACCTTCTTTTTTGTGGCCCTGGAAAGACTCCCGACGAAGACTTGAAGAACGCACAGCTCAGGAAAATCAATATGCTGATTGAGAAGGTGAAAACTTTGTGTGGAACCTCAACATATCTCAAAATGTAATAATATATCGAAGCTAACGTCTTTCGTATTATTATCGACAGGCAAGAATTAATAAGGAGCATCACGTGTTAGAGATTGGATGCGGTTGGGGAAGTCTGGCAATTGAAATTGTCAAAAGAACAGGATGCAAATACACCGGCATAACTCTGTCCGAAAAACAACTTCAATATGCAGAATTGAGAGTGAAAGAAGCTGGCTTGCAGGTAATGTCGTTTGCTCGTTTTATATTCTTTGCTATACGTGTGTTTCAAGTCAGATTAAAACAACTTTATCGGGCTTTCATTTATAATGAGTTGATTGCTATATCAGGATCAAATCGAGTTCCTTCTGTGCGACTATCGACAATTGCCTGAGGGTTGCAAATACGACAGGATCATATCATGGTGAGCTCCCTTTGTAACAAGCTTTATCAAAAATTGTCCTTGTTTGCAAAATTCTCTTTCAAGATTGATGTACTGCAACTTATTGAGCACGGATATTCTTGAAATAAATAGAAACTTACGAGGTTCAAAATCGAAATGTTGAATTTTGTCAGTGAGATGTTGGAAGCTGTGGGGCATGAGTACATGGAGGAATTCTTCAGATGCTGTGAAACTGCATTAGCAGATAATGGTCTCTTTGTACTTCAGGTACCTAACAAGTACCAACTATGAAGCTTGATATTTTCTATTACACGTTCATATGTTAATTAAAACTCGTGAAAATATTGTTCAGTTCATATCGATAGCCGATGAGAAATACGACGAATACAGGCTTAGCCAAGGCTTCATAAAAGAATACATATTCCCTGGTGGATGCTTGCCTTCACTCAGCCGTGTAACGTCTGCCATGGCTACTGCATCAAGATTAAGGTCTAACAAACCTTATTTTTTTTCTGTATTAAGTGTCAAAAAAAATAACAAAGAGATGGACAGAATAATAAAATCTCACCATGAATGCTCTTCTGTCTACGCAGTGTGTCGCACCTGGAAGACATCGGAATCCATTACTATCAGACGTTAAGGTGTTGGAGGGAAAATCTCCTCATAAATCAAAAGTAAGAATGAAAGTCTCAGTTAGATTTCATACGGACACGACAAAAGTTAATCCGTACTAACTAAAATTTTGTCTTTCTAGTAAAATCTTGGCTCTGGGATTTGATGACAAGTTCATGCGGACATGGGAGTATTACTTCGACTACTGTGCTGCTGGTTTCAAATTGCGTGTTCTTGGAACTTACCAGGTTTGTGATGCTCGAGAGAGTTTGATAGTATGAGATCGTAGTTAACAATGTCATGGTAAACTTGATAAAAAGATACACATGGATTAATTTGGTTTTCGTTTCAGGTTGTATTCAGTCGACCAGGAGATGTTGCTGCCTTCGGACGTGATCCGCTCACAAGCACGCCATTCTGATCCAACAGCAATACATCGAAGACGTATTAGTATTATTGTTGTTGTTATACTATGTAACTTCGTTAACCTTGTATGTATTGTTTGACATGGAAATGAATTTTTTTTGTAATAATAGTTGTTGGTCAATAAATGCAAATATTCACATACATCTCAAGAAAATTCATTTATGTTGAGGCTCCAGAAATCATCATTAAACCTTAAAAAGACTGAAAAATGTGATTGTTCAGAGAATGTAAACAGTAAATTTTAACTGGAAGTTGAAAGAGAAAATGCATTTCACCAACTGGCTAATGAACAACAGGTAAACTTAGAAAGCTTTTCTGTCCGCCATAGCTCGACTCTTTTGTTCAGTTTGAGCCTAAGAACACAAGGTTTGCCAAAAATTGAACTCATCCGAATCAGCAAACAAGCACCAAACAACAGCTGATGTCGAATGAAGGAATTCATACGAAGGGTTAAACGAAATGGGCAGTCACATAGAAAATGGTTAAAGCCATAAATCACCACCGTATATATTAAACCAAGTTTGAGTCACCCACTTCTATCATCGACTCTGTAGCTGAAACATTAATTATGAATATTGCCAACTACGAGACTCTCACGAGCAGCTTGCCACTCAATTCCATATTACTTGTAAAGACTCAATACCTTATGGAGTAACAAACACATTTGGATTTATAACTTCTAAAAGTCCATTCAGTGTTTACCAATGTAGGCTGCAGGGCAAAATCCCGCCCTAGCGGCCTCCATAGCTGCCATCCTTCACACGTTCAGCATAGCGGTTTGGCAAAATCTGCCATGCCACGTCACCACTATTTGATAGGGCCAAGTCTATTCTAGATAAAAGATACTTTCGGAGAAATCCTCGCACAAAATTCCATTTCCTAACTGGACTTCGGCAAAAGTGCTACCAAAACTAACATAAAATAACTTGCTATAAAAACAGGCAGGCCATTCAGCTGAAATCGAGTTTAAACCAGAATTTCTATTATTCAGCTGAAATCAATGTCAAGAAGGGAAGTTTCTCAAAATGAACCAACAAAGAAAAAAAAAAAGGTTGGTTTCTTTTCCACTTGAAAAGCTGTTTGGGACAATCTACTAATACCGTTAGCCTAACATCCCACAAAGGATGAACTTAAAATCACATAAATCATAACCAATTGCCCTACACTCATACGGTCATACCCCCATGGCAATTGAATATGCCCAGTTCCACCAGCTGCAGTGCCTTGCATCCGTTATTGCCCACTTTCAAGCCAACTCATTCTCACAATCGTGTAAATGGACACTTCTACAGTTCCGCTACACATTGTAAAAGAACATGCTCCATTAAGCTCGTGCTTAGCCTGAGCACAATTCATGAACCCTCTTAGCAAATGAGCATCTCCACGCCTGTACAAAACAAATGCCAAATGCCAAGAAAAACAATTACGTCATCTGGAAAATTTTCTATCTATCCACCACTACCATTATGGCTATCCATTTACGAGACTGATCTACCAGAGGTTAATTGCAGAACTTCCCTACAAAAAAATGAAAGGAGAACAATAGGATTTTGGCTACAGAAAAACAAGAGGTTAACTACTGGAAAGATTTCACTACCTAACATAAACACGAAATTACCCGAGACTGTGATAACCAAATCTCATCCACTGAGGTTAACCAAGTCTTCCAGTCCCCCCAGTAATACTCTTTAAAGAACTTCAATCAGTTTACCAACATAACAGATATAATGATCAAATATGAAACAAGCTTCAACAACCCATATAACCTGTGAAATACTCAGCCACTAAGGTCACATCAAAACCAAACTCCAGCAATTAACTCACATATGCTCAACAACAGCTATTATATCCCAAACATTACCACATGCAAAGGACTCCGAAAACAGCTCAAGCAACAAAGCACGCCAAATGAAAACTACAGTTCAACAAAAAAGTAGCAGAAACTCTACTCCTGAGTTACGACTTATTTCATGGCTACCAATACCAAATAACAAAAAGAAATATAAAGAAGGTACAGCAGATTAAGTTCACCCAACACAAGCCTCAACTTCAGCACACGAGCAACTAGTCATCACTAGAAACGATCAACACGTGAAACACCATACGCTCCAGTAGAACAAAACACAAAACATAAATCAATCATATGAAGATCACTGCTGGGACGGCCGAGTGGGACCACCGCCACCATAGCCACCACCATAGTTACCGGAAGCCTGTGATGCATCACCATATCCTGAACTAAATCCTGCATTACCATAACCACCACTCGCATCGCCACCATAAGGTCCCCCAGGTTGATCAGCTGGGCCACCATTTGGCCCACCCGCTGCTCGGCCACCAACGGCACCATATCCAGTTTGATTCCCATAGCCTCCCTCATTTCCACCATATCCGCCATAACCATATCCTTGGTTCCCATACCCTGAGGCCCCACTTGGAGACTGGCCAGTGCCCGTCCCACCACCTGGCCCGCCGCCAGCACCCCACTGTGAACCTCCTCCATAGCCATACCCAGTGGGAACATGTGAACCCCATGAATTTCTCTGAGCACCAGGAGGACCAGCATATCCTGCACTAGGGTTATTCCCATACCCTCCGCCAGATGGACCACCAAACCCTGGATTTGCATTACCATAATTCCCATAACCATAACCCATGGAGTTATTGGTGGGGCCATATCCATAACCCGGTGCATTGTACCCAGACGATCCGTAAGATGGGTACCCACTGCCAGAATTTTGCGACTGCATGTACCTGTTGGACTCCATTCGAACGTCATAAGAGTTTGAATTCCCACCGGCAGAACCATACCCCTGATATCCTCCGCCGCCTCCGCCCCCATAACCACCACCAGAAGATCGCCCACCCCCACCACCGATATTAGAGTCTTTAGGCTGGGCCCGCTTCACTTCCACTTGCTTACCGTCCAAATCATGGAAGGTCTTGTGCAGAACCCTGTCGACGGCATCCTCGGAATCGAATGAGATGAACCCAAACCCACGTGGCCGATTTGTCTGCTGGTCATACATTATTACCACATCAGTTACCTCTCCGTAAGTTTCGAAATACTGACGAAAGCCATCCTCGCTCAGAGTTGGCGGCAGGCCACCAACGAATATTTTCTTTGTCCTGCCGCCTCCACCAAAGCTGCGTGCACCACCAGAGTTGCCACCTCTTGAACCCTGTTGCTCATCCCTTGATAAAGCTCTTTTAGCCTCAACCTATTTTGGAAAAGAAGAGTAAATAATGAGGTTGCTCAGAAAAATAAGGTAATGCCAAACGGTCATATCACGCATAATATTCAGTAAACAAGTAAGTCTCAGGATTACTGAGTCAAAGTACAATTGATTCAACTACAGCAGTACGTAGAAAGTGATGACTATTTTCACCTTTCTCCCTCATCCTCACAACTTCTCTACCTCACTGAATTGCACAGAAACAGGTTTAAAGGAACATTCTTTGAACAACATGTCAAAAACAAATGGAAAATGGAAAACATAATACATGAAACCACCACAAGTTAATGCCTCAGTACACAGCAATCAGAAGATTAATCTCACTTTGTGCATTGAGAATCCACAGACTTCTAAGTACTGAAAAGCAGACTGTCGAGTAATCAAGCCAGATTTAATATAATTCACAATAAAAATCTATGAAAGGTAATCCCAATCAGACAGTTGTGATACAAAAGAAAAATGTGCAGAACATGAAGCTGTTATATTTTCTCCAGGAGATGCTACTTTTGGTTCAAACTCAAACAAGAATATCACCTGCAGGATCCTGGTACAAATACCTATAATTACAGTTGAACATAATGTGGAGAAAATCTACAATTATAAATGCCATTTCATACACAGCCATTAAACTCAAAGCACAGTATACCGTCAAATAATCTAAGAGTGGCTTCCTGAAAATTTCTGATGTCCCCAACAATGAGAGAACATCTCGAAAATATTGTAAAAAAACCCTCCAAACTCACTATGGTGAGAGAAGATCCTTACTACAATCAGAACCGGACAAAAACCAGAACATAGCACAAGGAAAGCATTCAACTCAAGATTAAGAGAAACAATAACAGTTAAACCCACTAATTCACAAATACGACAAGCAGCCACCAACTATTTAATTCAAAATAAGAAACCCATTTCTAGCACAACAAAGGCTAATCAAACACCACAAATTAAGTTCATTTTTATCCAACAAGACATAGAAAACAACCCAACACACATACACACGAGCGAGGAAATAAAGGAGAGCTAGACAATGCAGCAGATACGCAAATGCCACAGCAACATTGACAACAAAATAACTACGAGCAGATAGTGTGGATAAAAGGAACACGTATAAAGTACCAATCAGATATAGTATAACAATAACCTAAAAGCCAACAAAATCAACCCACGACTCCAAACTACCCCAATCACGAACGAACCCATAAGAGCGAGCAAAAGACGTAAGGGTAAGTTCCCAATCTCACCGTGCGGCCATCAATGACGTGCCTATCCTGAAGAACCCTATCGAGAATCTCTGGATCTGAGAACACAACAAACCCAAATCCCCTCGGCTTCCCAGAAACCTTATCCCTCATGACAACAGCCTGAACAACTTCTCCATAGCCCTGGAAATACTCTTTCAGCTTATCCTCGTTCGTTTCCCATGAAATCCCGCCGATAAAGAGCTTGCCTTGATCCGAATCCATTGTATATAGCCGTAAACAGAGAGATGATGACTAGCTCCTACTGCTGAGCGTGTGTGTTGGGGTTGGGGGGGAGAGCAGAGTCAGAGATTGAATTTCCGCTCACGCGCGTGCGGCGCAGTTGGAACGATTTGATGTTCGTTTCTGTGAAACTCGACTGCGGAGTGTGGAGAGGAATGAGAAAAGGGAACGAGAAGATTATTTATGCAGGGTGCGAGATGGACGGCTAGGATTCGATGAAGAGGGATGGGGATTCACAATGGAGGGTGGAGATATGATTGGACGAATTTGCTTTTTTCTGGGTAAATTGCACCAAACCTCCCTGTATTATACTAAATCTGTGCGTTGTCCTTCTGGAATTTAAAAATTGCATCAAACCCCTTTGTAATGTACTTTTGCATGCGCGAAACACCCTAAACCGTCTAAGATGACGGAAGTGAAGTGCACTCGCGTGCTATGCGGCTCCTTCTTC